AATACGTTCAATGCGAAGATTCTGTTAGGAGGAAAATAAAAATACATCATAAACAATTTCAAAATACAACAATACAAAGTGTTCACCCAACAAAACAATGGTTACCTTTGAAGAGGTTGTCTGTACATATGGTGGTCTGCTTGTGTTGTGTCTGTGCTGGGAAAGCTTTTTTTGTACATACAGACTGAGGTAAAACTCCCGACCATGATCCACTCTTAGCTGAACCCACATCCCATTGTTTGCAACAGCAGTTCTGAAAAACAATTATTTGGCATTTTATACACACTGTCCTATGTTTGTCTACAAGTAAAATGTATATTAGTGATAGAGTGTTCACAGATAAGTGAAAACTAGACTAGTCTTACTGCAATAATGTAGTGTATTTGTAAAGTCTGGTTTCTGCTTACCTGTAAACTTGGTCATAAGTAACCAGGTTGTTCTTCACTGGCATTGTGGCTTGAGCAACAATTTTGCTACTAAAACCATCAATAGCCAAAATGTGTGTTGCTCCAAACATGACCATTTTTTCATTTTGGTCTATATGTAGTTTGTGTCCCATATGTCCAGCGTAGTAGGGAATGGGATTTAAGTTTCTCGCACCCTAAATAAACAATACAATAAGTGCATTTAGTTACATATTAAATGTTGTGGATAAATATTAATGTTAACAATTAACATTTAAAACATTTAAGATTTATATAATTTAAATTTACACATTTATTTAGAATTTATGTATAAGATTTATACATACAAATATTTAAATTTAATATTTTGAGAAAATTAGAAAGGCAAGAAGAGAGATGCTAAACAACATAGTGGAAAATTTGGAACTAGTATTTTACTCAAAGTGAGTTAAATAAGGACAAATGTGTTGGTGACATTTTTGTAACTTCTTATTTTACACTTTTCACTTATTTTACGCTTCTTAGTGGGGCCTTTTAACAACTTAATCCTATAGTTTAAATCACTAGGTTAACAAATATATATTTTACCACTTGTGCAAAAACTTTAAGTTACCTGACAGCGTAGCTCATTGTACGGCTGATGTACTTCTCTGAGTATCTTTCCCACTCGACACTCTCCTGCCCGAACCCCCACTGATGACAAGAAGCCAGTCATGAATTTACGTCCATAAGATGGACCGGTCTGCAAACGTCAAACACAGGTTTTAAAAATGACGCTGAATAAATGACCTGCAAATTTAAAAAATAAGGCTACTTTACCCTGGTTTTAGAT